CAAGACGAATCGCGGTGGCTTGTCTCCGTCGAAGGTTAACATTGCCGTGTTGGTCTTGCCCAGACGTCGGGCGGCCACCACGCGCACCTTCTCCGATTCCAGTTCAAGGTTGAGTACCTGGTCTTGGCGACCTTCTTGCAGGGTGTGAATGTCGTAAATTAGCCCCTTGCAGTAGGCTGCGCCGTAAGTGCGAAAGACTTGAACGGGTATTTTCTTGTCCTCGATGTCGACCTCGATGATCTTCTCTAGGACGGCCGCCAATGCCTCCAAGTCAGTCCTGACCGAGATGGTATTGGCCTCTTCTATTATGTACATGGTGTATGTCGATGGTGCATGTGTGCTGTTTAGAAGCACTTTGAGTATTGCAATGAGCGGCTTGATCGAAGTACGCGATCTTGTTAGGCGGATCTTGTACTCAATTTGCCGACGCTTTTGGGGCTTGGCGACACTCCCCGTTTTGCTTGCGCATTCCGGTTCCCCCGTGACCGTTTGCCTTTTTTCTTGTGAAGGAGCTCCGTTGTCTTGCAGCATGGGCGCTTCCGCTACCACAACTGCAGCTCTTGGCTGTGACGTCCTATCCCCCGTCGTGTCGTGGGGCTGACTTGGCGGAGGGATATCTGACATAGCGCCTGCAGGCATGTGTGTAGGGACGGTCGACGCCTTCTCGTTGTTCTTTTTGACTTTCGATTTCTTCTTTTGTTGCTTTTCGGCAACAGGAACAATGTTGTGAGTCTCTCCTAAAATGCTTTTGAAAATGTCTAGAGGCTTTCCTTCGAAATGCTCGAAAGTAAAGTTCGTAGAGCCTGCTCAACAGTCGATGCTGAGTTTTCTGGTGAAGAAGTGGCTGGCTCACCGAAATGGGAACACAGTGGGCATCTCGATGACTGGTGTCATAACTAGCAAAGGTTTCGCTGGGGTCAAACTTGCCGGTTCCATCGTGACAGCGGCGGGTCCGGTGTTTGACCCGGCGAGGTTTCTCGTGTCCATATCCATAGCTTCTAATTTCTGGTCTTGAGGGCTCGAAGTCTTGGCCGCTTCTTCCTGCTTGTCAAGAGGTGCCGGCATCATTGTCTTTTGACAAGCGGCCCCCCAGACTTTCAATTAGGTGCTAGGCCTAATATCGGGAGCCTAAGAAAAACGCGTCCGATCTTTTCGGTACGTTCTTCTTTCTCCGGCCGCAAGTCGGCGAGCCAGAGTGGAAAGGCTGCCGCCATCTATGAGCGACGGCGGCAACCAGATACGTGGTTTGCCGCCGTCGCTCATAGATGGCGGTAGGTGTCCAGAGTTCGGTGTCTTCCCTTCTTTGCGGGGGACACGATCCTGGGGAAACTAGCCCTTAACAGCTCTGGTGTAAAAAAAAAAAAAAATTAGGTGATTTGTTGCTTGCTGTGCAGGCAACACTCGTCAACAGGGTGTTAAGGTTGATTGACTAACTTCCGACTGTATAAACATACATACAACACATTTTTTTATTATTTTATTTTACTATTTTACTTATCTTGAAGACAGCGTTCATCCCGAACCATGGGGAGCACTTTGCAAAAATTTAATTGCAGACGCCTCCTGCAGAGATTGGTCGCAAGTGGGCCTGCGCCGCGTTTTCACGTGCCGAGGAGAAAAGCAGGCGGAAAGGCGGGGACGTTTGCAGACGATCAACGCTTTTGTCACCTCCTCGCAGCTTATATTGCAAACGCGGCCCATAAACCACGTATCTCCGATAGAGAGTTGCACGCTCTCTGCAATAGAGACTCTCTAATGAAAACTGGTCCGCCTATATTTGAGAGTGTTTCCAACTACTTGATCAGGGTCATGTGGTTTATTGGCCGCGTTTGCGATGCAAGGTTTGCTCGGTCTCTCCGCCCGCTGTACTCCTCGCCTCGTGGCAACGTACGAATGCGCACGTACAACCAATTTGTGTATAAGGGGATCCGCCATTAAAGTGCAAGCGTCCTCTATGCTTTGAGTTGATCTATCTCTTAAATCGAGGCTCTCTAACGAAAAATACAGCGCCTATATTTTACAGAGAGAGCAACGGGAACCACGAAAAGCGTTGGCAGTTTAATGAAGAACAGCTCCCGCGCAGATTGTTGCACGTGGGCATGCGTACGTTGTCGTGTGTTGCGGAGACTAGCAGGTGCAGAGGCGATGCAAAACGTGGAGCACCTTGAGACGAGCGACGCTCCGCTTTCGCCTCCTCCTCGCACTTTGCGTGGCTATCTGCCAGCGCGGCCAGTCAATCACGGGACCTTGATCGAGCAGCTGGAACTACTCTCAAATCTAGGCACACAGCCAAAAACCCTTTACGAAGGAAGCATTTTTTGTGTTCTGGCCTATTACTGCCAACGATTTGTCTTATTTCGCCTGAAAGGACATAAAACATATGGTGTATTCTCAATGCATTGCCCAGGTACAGATGCTCTAAATCATGGGGTCTCCAAATGCTTTGACTGAGGGGCCGGATCGAAGATCTGGTGCTGTCTCGAGGGTCGGAAAATGAATAAGATATAAACATAAATGAGATAAAAACGTAATAAATAATCCTCGACCAATTAACCTAAATACAAAATTAAAAGCTAGAGTAAAAAAAAGAAAGAGAATGTAAGGTGGATGAAGAGATATACTCTATTTTGAAACTAATTAACCCAGAGAACTCGTAAAGCATAAATCAAAGCCCATAGAAACTTTGGCATGTTCACGCGGGGCAAAAGATTAATAACGAGAACTGACACTGACAATATGCAATAGATACGACACGGGACACTAGCGCAATATGCGTGCGAATGCAAAGAGATTTCAACGTGCGTAGTTACACAGATATGAAGCAGGGAACTAAGAATGGTGACGACAATGTACAATGGTGAGAGGACACGCCTTAATAATAAACCGATTTTTCTCGTTTTTTATTTATATTAGGTTTGTTTACGTGGTCGGTGCGCGTTGCGACGCCGGTTCTTTACGTGCGCTCATTATTGCGCCGGTAGCAGCGGGCCTGCTAGCCGCAGGCCGGGCTTCACTGGAAGTACCGCGACCAGCCACGGGCTGGTCAGAGGACCTTCGCGTGCCGGGTTTGGCCCGCGGGCCGGGGTTTGGGAACCCCCTGTTCTACAGTCTTTGGGTTATCGCCGCGCACGCTAGCGCCATCTCTTGGAGAGGCGTCCAGCGCGCGAAAACCTCGGTGTTCATTCGTGCTTGTTTCCCCTACTCGCCGCTAGTAAAGCATTTGCCGACATGTCCGGCTCCAAATTTCGACATTTGACACTGTAGACAGGATATTGTGATCGCCAAAATAAATGTAACCCTCCGATTCTTTTGACTATATATGGCTCTTCCATTCCCATATTTTATTTCATCAGCTATATATCCTCAATAGAGCCACGCGCACACCTCTCCCGGTTCTCCTTCTGTTTTCTGCACTGCAAAAAAAAAAAAAAATAATAATAAATTGTAAAATGGTTTATACGTTTATAAAATTATGATATTTTAAATATTTTAATAATTTTTGCAGGGTAAAGTAGGCATTAGGAATTCTACACCCTGTAAGCAATTCTGCTGCATACCTCCAAGCCAGACTTGTACGGCACCCATCACAAGTAGTAGTCAAATTACTTGTAATCGATTACGTTTTAAGGTACTTTTGTAATCATTTAAATACATTTATTTGGAAGTAATTAAAAGAGTAATTTGACTATTTTTGGAAGTGAAAAAAAATACTTTAAGCGAAAAATAGGGTCTCTAACCAAAAGCTTAATAAATATTTACCCAACGTTTCGAGGCTAGTTATGTCCCTTGTTCACGGGTGAGTGACGGATGTATGGGGCTTTGCTGACAGCACACTGTCCCAAGACGTAGCTGCTGGGCAGGGAGCCCGAAGAACGATACCCTGCACCCTGCCCCTGTTCAGCAGCTACGTCTCGGGACTGCGTGACGTCAGCAAAGCCCCATACATCCGTCACTCACTCATGAACAAGCGACCGAACTGGTCTCGAAATGTCGGGTAAATGTTTATTAAAATATTTGGTTAGAGCCCCTAAATTTCGCTTAATGTCTATTCCTAACCAGGCAGAGGGCTGCCGAACGTTCACCCCCCAAAAAATTACTTGTAACCGTGACTTTTTAAACTTCTCCTTTCTAATGGCGCCCTTCGTATCTACAAGTTTCCTACCGAGGAACCCTCGAACGAAGTCTCGGACGGGAGGGTCATTTTACCAAAATCGATGGATTAAGAAGACAATCGGTTTGCAATTCGGTGATTCTAATCCAATAAAGGATTGTACAAAAAGTAACGTTTTCGAACCGGGAGAAAAATTAGTCGTTTTGAAAATCTGAAGTAATCTGGAAAGCAGAGGTTACTCGTTGAAGTAACTGCCAAGTACTGTTCTTCTCAAGTAATATAGTAATATAATTGAACAATTCTAAGCGAGAGTAACTGTAATTGTAAAAGATTACTTTTTTTTTTCAAGTAGCGTGTACGAGACTGCTCTGAGCACATAGAGCACTATATATTCCTGGGTGGAAGAGGCTGATTGAGCGGCCGTGACTGTACTCTGTTGGGATGACTTTGATTTAAAGTGTCGCTTGCACTCAACGCGTAATGTCACTTCCGAAGCGCATGCGTTAGAAAGTCCTCCCCAGTGCTCCCTTTGAAGCGACACCAGGTCATCACCTGGTGTCACCGGGTCGTGTAAGGCGAGAAGTGTCTCAAGGAACCAAAACAGCGAGGAAGGCAAGGCAAAAGAGCCCCCTGTGCAGCGTTGGGTGTATCAAAACGTTAAACAAAGCTAGTTTAGGAAAAAAAGGGCGTCTTGGATGTGCCTGCATTTATCCGACGTCTATTGTCACTTGAGTTAGACTGAGGGTCCCTTTCTATATCTGCGTGCACGTGCCCGTTATTATTTCTTTTTTTATGATTCCGCGCCTTGCTTGCGACTGAGCGTCAAGCGTCCTTGGACAAGATAGCGTATCGGCCGGGAAACTCATGAAGTCCTTTCTTGTGCTTGCAGAACAGGAAAAGCCCCTGCCGAGGCCGAAAGGTGAGGGTTTTTGTACACACAGCTAAATACACGAACTCAGCTCTGTTACGTCACGGCGCGGTGGTGGCGGGTCGGGCGCACTTCCGGTCTGCGGCTGTGGGCGGAAATCACAATGCGAGACGTGCTTTCATCTGTTGTTTTCGAAAAAAAAAACAAGAAAAAAAAATCAGACAAAAACCTGTCTTCTTGTCAAAACCCCGCGGCTGGGGCTGTACCAAAAGAATAGGGAAAGGTTTGGAGGTCAATTTTCCTGTTTTCCGCTTGCTCGGTTTGTTCAAAAACGTAAACAAGAGCCGTAAAAAAAGAAAAAAAAAGAAAAAAAAAAAAGAAGACACATGTCGGATTGCGACTGCTTGTGCGGGAAGCACTTTGGGTTGAATTCACGGATACTTCTAATCGTCAGATTTTCTTCTTTTTTTGTGTGTGTGTGTTCCAATATGAACACGGGAAAACCACCAAGTTATACGGACCACCTGCGGACCGCGTTCAGTGCGTCTTCAAGTTGAAACGGCCACCTGATCGTTCGAACTATCTTCTGATCTTTCAAACGTTTCTGCTTGTTGTAGTCTGCTCGTCCAAACGACAGCGGTCCGTGAACCAAACGCGGACCCGGTAATTGCGATAAGAAGAAAGTGCAGGCCTCAAACGACCTTCTAAGTTTGAAGGTTGGTTGGAGTGAGTAGGCTCGGTTTAAACAGTAGATACAAGGATATCTTGATAATTGTTACCAGTGGCAATCACCGACTTTTTATGCCTAAATTCACTTGGTACGATTCTGCTTGCGATTTTCAGTATCGACGTCGACCCTCTCAGCTACGGTTCGCGCTTTTGCAGCCCGATCGACATCATGATTGAAAAAAGCGAGCAGAATCTGATCGCGCGAATCAGGCTTTTGCGCCCATTCTGCGGCGACCACGCGGAATGAAACGCCGCATGTCACTTTTTTTACGCGAAGTTCTGCGATGTGACCAGCCTAGTTAACTTCGCTGAGGCCAACAAAGTAGTCAGATATTGCCCAGGAAGACGAGGAATCAACAATTCTAACGCGAAAACGGTCAAGGGGACACACACCGACGTCTACAACATCACATTTCAATGGTTTGTTTATGGGCGACGGCGAGCTTCTCCCCACACTCCATCGCGCATGCGTGGCGCCGATGGCGTCCGCTAGGGGCGATCCGGTTTGTTTGTGAACATGAGTTGTTCTATATACATTTAAGAAACGCGGGAAGCGGCGAGTCCGGAGAGTCCTATTATCACAAGTCAGGCAATAAGAATGAGTCACTGGCCGATAAGGACGCCGAAGATCGAATCCCAAAGCATGAACATAAGAAGTGACACCCTTCATTTCTTAAGATGTCGGCGACTATAGTAGAGCTGAACTCTGACGTCACGCCGCTGCGGTGGCGCTGATGTCGGCACTGCGCATGCGCATAAGCTTTGCCTCGCCGAAATCTGGTTTCTGAGCAGGGCCCACGCACGGTGTGGGCAATCGCGGGTTCGTTTTGTAAGCAGCGTGTCGGTCGATAGAAGAGGGTAGGGCATCTCGCAGAGAAAACGAGTAATAATCCCTTTGCACGGGAGTACCAATGTCCGGTATACGGCCCACTATCAAGGCAAAAATGGCGGTTTTAAATTGACCGACTAGGCTAAAAGTTCTCCATAAACATTAATCTTCTTTTTTTTTTTTTCTGGCCTCTGAAATTTGTTTTACCATGATAGAACTGTCCAAACAGTCGCAAAGTGAACAAAAGAGCTACAATGTTTTTGGCGTCTGAGGAAATCCTTGAATGCTAGGTTTCGTCCACTGTCACCACTCGCTGTTGCGCTTGTTGTCATGATCCTTCTCGAACGTGGACCAAGGGGGCCGAAGCACCCGCCGAGATGAGACGACACGCAGCCTGGTTGTGAGGGTGAACGATGACTGCCCGGACCGGTGTGCGCTCAATGGCGTTTATTGGGCGCGGTGATCAATGTTGCCCGCCGAGCCTGGCGGCCACAGACGGGCGGACTGGAGGGGGCGCTACGTACTTGTCACACTTGTTTGTCCTCTTATTAAACTAATCGTACGATTATATTGTCCGACTTGGACTAGAACGACACGGCCCAGTCAATTATGCATTCGAGAACGCGACTCGTTCTCGAAGGCTCTTATCGGTAATATGATTACTCCGCAGCGATACTGATCTCATTAGTACTGGATCAGCGCTGTCCCCGTCCTTCTTTACCAGAGCCATCAGTGATCAGGGGTGCAACGCTTCCTTTTTCCAACCTCCCCCCTACCCCCCCCTCCCCTTCCCCCCCTCACCCCCCTGAAAAGAAAATAGAAACGAAAGAGGCAGGCACTTTCAATTGCTACTGTTTACATGCATCTGAGAGGTCAACCTGCGCATCTTCTAATTTTATATTTCGCAAAAATGTGTTCATCTTCCGCGATATATCCTCAAAGACGAAGCCACCAGACCGCAGGGGCATGAAACACTCACACACACTAAGTGATACGCAGTTAGTAAACACGAAACCCGCTCTAGTTTTATGGATCCTTAAATGTGATATGGGGTGTCGGCGGAATTCTTTTGTCACTAATTGTTTTAGTACTTTTTCTGCTCAAATAGAAACGTAAACCGGGAACGAAGCAATGACAGCTAACCTTAAAACTCAGTAAATGTAGGACACGTTCTAGAGCACCGGCCGAATTCTCCCACCGACAGAGTAAACACTCGACGTCATTTGAAGGCAGACAGACATCCCGCTGTCTAGAAGACGCGGTGTCGCACTGCGAATACGCCGTGCAAAAGACAGTCTGCGCGGACACTGTCTCTCAGAGCTGTTCCTTCTTTGTATGCCGGTCCTGTCACATTGATCACAGAAAAAAAAGTTCAGCGTTTCCGCTCTGATGTAGAAGGAAGACCAGCGGAGCTGTACAATGGAAAGTAATGGCCGGCCGCAAGTCGGCAAGCCAGAGTGGAAAGGCTGCCGCCATCTATGAGCGACGGCGGCAACCAGATACGTGGCTTGCCGCCGTCGCTCATAGATGGCGGTAGGTGTCCAGAGTTCGGTGTCTTCATTTCTTTGCGGGGGACACGATCCTGGGGAAACTAGCCCTTAACAGCTCCGCTGTAAAAATTACATACACGTTTATTTGGCCAAACGCGATGAAATGCGGCATAGCTTTACAGCAACATCGTTCGTGAAAAGAATTAGGAAAGGAAATGGTACGGTGATGGAGTGGTTGTAATATTCCGTGTTCAAACGTCGAGGACGACGTCAAGGCCGGCGTCAAGGACGCCTTGAGCGTGGTTGGACCTATAAAGCAGCCACTTAAAACTGTCTGCAAGCATATGTTCGAAGCGTACATATAGGTATGAAGCTATAACATCTCTGGAACATGCATGAAGCGCGTCCTCACTTAATTCTGTCTGCAACGAACACCGTGTCTTTTGTGTGTGATGTATGGGCAGTCTGACAACTGGTTCACTCATTTGCTTTTCTGAGCGCGATCGCGTGCGTTCTGCTCGCTCGTATTCGCTCACAACGACAAAACACACTGGCGCCATCTATTAGGTAGCCCTGGAACACTCTCATTATGCGTATATTATATATATGTGGTACAAACGAATGTTCCGCTGAAAAACGAGCCGCAAAAAAATCGGCACCTGCACATAGAAAGCTCTAACTTTTGACCGAATGTGCACTGAGCAGGTCACTTTCCCCGTGTGAAATATCGAGGCGTAGTTCTCTTTCTCTGGAAAAAAAAAATAATAAAGCAGAAAACTTGGCAAAGTCAAGTTCATGCGTGCTCGCAGACGACCGAGTTTGTTGCGCCATATCCCGATAGGCGCAGCGGGCAGACGACCTACCCTTTTTTCTGCTAGTCTCAAGATATATAGCGTCGCCAGCACGGTCGTCTGCGAACCTTCAACGTGGACTATGGCAAGTTTGTTATTCTCATTTTTCATAGGAAGAACGCACGCGCCTTGAAATTTCACACAGTGAGACTGACCCGCTCAGTACTTGTTCGGTAAAACGTTTGAGTTTCCTAAGTGCAGACACAGTTTTTTTTTCCTGCTGGTTTTACACGGGAAGCTTTGCTTGTGCCACCCTATATTTTCTCATTTTTTTTGCATAATTTTTTTTTTCATTTTGGGATCGAAATAAAACTGGTTATGTTATAAGCGTCAATTTCTCATAGGTGCGAATATTTGATATAGCAAATAAGGCTAGATTTTCAGTCTCACTAGAAGCAACCGGCAATACAGTTTTGCAGTACACGTTGCGCCATCTAGCGGCTGCAAAATAAAATGCTGGGTAAGCCAGGACGGCCCGGGGCGCGGGGACTGGGGGCGGGTGCACTTAGAAACCACGCATGAGCGTAGCATTTTTTACAAGCGTTAGCCTTTTTTTGCAGCTTTCTTTTTGTAAAAGTAAGTCCCAGCTTCACGTCTCTATGACCTCACCGTGTTCCTGAGACATCTCGCCTAAAACTAAAATCCCTTGCCCCCCCCCCCCCCCCCAAAAAAAAAAAAAAAAAAAAAAAAAAAAAAAAAAAACGTATCTACTGCTCTGTCAAAGACTGCCACAGTCGTGAAGGTGACTTATGCGTCAAACTTTAATGCTTTCCTTCGGCGTCTTGGGAAGCGACACGGCGATAGAAGTGAATTACTGCAGTGTGACGCATCGAGTAAGTGAATTTTACATCAATTGCTGAAGTGAACGAAAATAGATGTGCAGGCCTGGAAAGTGGTCTGACGAACTCGTTTTGCACACTTCTAGGCAAACTAATATATTTATACGAGTTGTTTTACGAGTCACTTAGATAGTCACATAGGGAAATAACGGTAGGAAAAATCGGGCCGATTGTTGGCTTCGCTGTGACGTCGAGAATCGGGCGATTAGCCCTTCGAGCGAAAGGCCCGTCGGCCCGTTCCAGCTCTCGTAGTTCTACGCGTGTATAGCCGCCAGGCACGCGCGGTGGCAACCAAAACCTTAAGAACCTGCGAGTTCTCAAATAGTGCATTTTCGTAGCACATAAAGTTTTGTTTGTTTCGGCAACCAAATTTAATACCGAGTCCGGTGACAAATGTGACGGCGTGCAAAAAAGAGGATGCAAAAGGTTTTCTTTAGAAAAAGCTCATGCGAAACGTAAATATCCTTCTCACACGTACACTTTGTTGCCTTTCACCTTTTTACACCAGGCTCGCATAGCACATTACAGCCATTGCAACGTGCATACTGTTCTCATACAGAGTTTGGTCCTAATTGCCCCATTTTACACTACTGGTGAAGAAAACTCTAGAATTCGCTCTAAAGATTTCGACCTACCAAGGCTCCTGATGGTCTTAAGACCGCATAAAGGAGCTAGGGACATGGTGCGCACATGAACTCGGGGACTGGTGAAATCAGGGTCACCGCCGCTCGCCACGGCACGACGGGCAGACTGGCCTTGCCATTAACAGACACGCTTCCGCTTCTGGCGCTGAAAGCAGCCCTCTCGTAGCGCCGCCTGGCCATTGCCGGCTGGCTATACGCAGATCGGAACAATTCCAGTGCTACCCGACAGACGGCGACAGCGTGCCAGCGTGTTTTGTTCTCAGTAAGGGGTTACGAGAGAACAGAGCGTACTAGATCACATTTAAATACAAGTGTGTGAACCAGCTTTAAAGCTTCGAACACCTCAAACGTGACTTTGGCCTTTAACAGACGGTCCGGGCCGGCGCAGCGCCGTCTGCTACCGGCGGCCCCGGCGCGGCAACTGCAAGGCCATTCACCGGCGCTGGTTCTTCAACTACCGGACGCTTATGTGCGACCGCTTCCTTTGGGGCGGCTGCGACACCAACGGCAACAACTTCAACACCAGGCGGGACTGCAGGCTCGCCTGCACGCCAACCGCTGTCATCCAGAACGGTACCTATAGCTAAAGACATTCCGTCCAAAGAAAAAAAAAAAAAAAAAAGGAAGCACGTTGGAAAAATAAAATCCAGTTGTTTGTCGTGTCCTTGAGTGTCCTGAGCGCTCTTCTGCGCACAGACGACACATAAGCATTTTCCACCCTCCTTTCAAACTTTTTTTGCATACGTAGAAGCATTACACTGCCACGTGAAGTCATAATTTTCCCGATATATTTAAAGGGATATTGTCCGGTAAAACATTGCCTTTCAGAAAACTATTAAATAATATTGTCATTGCCTTTAGGAATACATCCGCACAAGATCCCAATGTTTAATCCTCTGCCGCACAAGTAATTCAATTTTAAACAGAGCCCAACTGCTCAGATTGCACCCGCAAAACACACAGCGTTTTCGTTGGCAACAGTAAAACCTCTGACGTAACATCAGGCAAAGGGAGCCCCTCACCTATTGACTGCTGCCATAGTAAAATAACTTCGTTCTAAGAAAGACAAGATTTACGATATTGAGGGAAGCTCAATTCTTCGACGATGATCTTTGTGCGCATCATCAATCATGTTGATCAAAGCCGGGAATAAGTCAACGCCCGCGACTCTGACGTTCCCATGCCTGATGTGACGTCACGACATGACCAGCCCTGCGTACTTGCGAAATTTGGCGTGAAGTTTCGTAATGATGTTTATAATTGATTTAACGAATATTGGGGCGTCTTCTAATTAAAACAATATCACATATCAATATATTTAGGCCTTCTCTACGTGACCAGCGCAAAAAATGAGAAACTTCCGGATATCACCGGACAATTCCTTTAACTGACAATTTGTGAAGTCTTATGACACTGTGACATCACAGCACGTGACCCCGATTCCCCTCTAAATTTAGCGGGTTACGACCCTACACAAAAAAGATGACCGCATCTCCACCTGGTGAATGATGTTGATTGGGGCGAAGCTCTGGTGGTGCTTGTCTGCGTAGGCGCTGAGCCGCAGCATGCCGAGCCTTTTGTTCGTTTTCATTCATGTCAGAAAGAGAATGTGTGGTATGGAACGTGGTTATATACGCATTTGAGCATTTGACCGCAGCGCCCTCTTGTCTATAAACGTTGAAGCTATGCATGCAAAGTTTAACACGATTATATACGCATTTGACCGGAGCGCCCTCTCCTGTATAGACGTTGAGCGGCTACATGCAACGTTTCATCCATGACATTCCCAGCTCTTGAGTTACTACCACATCTCAGAGCCCCCTACTCGTCCCGCAGTCGTGGCCGAGTGGTTAAGGCGATGAACTAGAAATCCACTGGGGTCTCCCCGCACAAGTTCGAATCCTGTGGACCGCGCAAACATTTTTTTCTTTTTTTACCTTACACGAGGACGTGAGCACGCAGATCACGAGCACGAGCACCAGCAGGATCCATGTGAGCACGGACGCCGGACGGACAAGGCTAGACCCTAAGGAGCTTCGCCCCTAAAAGGCTCGAGGTACACCTAAGCACTTCTAATGAGTTGTGAATGCGAAAGCATGCAAGCCGCTCGTCTGCTCCCTTATTTCGTCTACGGCGCATTGGCGTCGACGGCAGATCGCGTGCGCTTTCCTCGTCGCTCTGACCTTAGACTCTCTGTGTTACCGGTGGGCTGATGGTGCGGACACGCAGCGCCATGGGGTGGCGGTCGTTGGAACGAACGCGCAGCGGCCAGTGGGAGCCTCGTTTCCTGAAACAATGACGCTCGCCAGCCAATGAGACCGAAGCGGAAATCTATCAGCTTAACTCTGCTCCTATAGCATCGGGGAAACTAGGTGCCGTTGTGCTATTCTTTTCGCGTGATTACAAAGCTGGGAGCCGGCTTCACCTGGAGAAAGGTGTTAAGGTGCCGTTTGGCGCAGCTTCAAAACTGATGACATCGGCTCGCTCCATGGCACAGTAAATGCTTTCGCATTAAAACACCTCGAGATGCACTGCGAATTCTCGCAACTAACAATAGACTTATTACAAAACTAGTACCGTCTCATCACGGCGTAATGCCCTGTTATGCATTGTGCGGATCAGTGGGCAGCATAATACATACGCGCTCCACTTCTGGCTTTGAGGTTCTAACAGTGCCAAAGCGCGTGGTCACATATTTATAACAATAATGTACAATCGCCATAAAAAATATATATAAGTACGTTTGTTTGCCTACGAATAACTCTGCTGGTTCATTACTTTGGCAAAACCTAGGCACGGCTTGATGGAGTGAGCGGAAACACATGATCATCAATTTTTCTCGTGGTTAACGCCGCGGATAGCGAATTTCGCCATTTCGAAGGCGATTTTTCTTCGCATGCTGTAGCGCTTGAAGCGGAGTTTAGAGTGTGCGAGACAACGAACTTGAAGCACTCTTAGAAAGGGTGTTAGTGCTTACACTTTCCCATGTTTACGCGACTTGTCACATATGATGCACCTTTGGAGGGATGCACCTTTGCATCCCTCCAAAAAGGAGGCACTTGCACCACACTTTCAAAGGTGCGTATACATGTACCCCTCCACACAACCTCACCTTTCAGCACGTGTATTGAGTTGACACAGAACCTTTAGGGGTGTAGATTTATTATTTCTACCGTACAACCTCACCATTTATTGTTTGTAATGCATACATACACCCAGTGGCGTAACAACTTCTTTTTGAGTAGGGGGGCAAACCAGTCCCCCGCCCTTCTTTTCAGGGCGGGGAGGGGGGGGGGGGGGAGGGGGGAGGCAGTGCCTTTGGTATTTTTTGGGCGCCGCCGGCCAGTGTTTGCCCTGCCCAGTGTCGGCTGTTTAGGGGGAGGGGGGGGGGGGGGCAAAACAAATGCCTTGCCTCGCCGGTTGGTACGCCCATGCACACACCATTTTAAGCTGTACGCATATTTTCTTTTATAAGACTTACCTTGAAGAGGGAAAACAGACGCACTCCGTTTGACGGTGTAAAAATAGACATGTGCATGTGCCGGCTCAAAGGGCAACACGACAAAAGTATCTGTTCCTGCTTCCATCAAAGTAAATGAGGTCAATAGTTGCCGTGTGTTACTGAGCACGGGTATGCGCAAGGCCTTTCTAGAAAGAGGTCGAATGCAACCAATGACACACAGATGGAAAACCGCAGTATTGTGCCTGGAACCCGTCTCGGAGTGGTGTGTTTAGCGTCCTATTCTGCCCAGGCACCGAAAGGGGTCCCGAAGTGACAACAGATGACGTCACAAAAGTCGAAGTGTCATGCTGTCTGATGTCGCGATCCTGGCAGTTAGTTGGTCGTAGAAGTGCCGGCGAAAAGCACGAGCGAACGTGAGTGTCGCTGTCGTCACGGGGTCCCAACTCCTGGCTGCCGAAGCTTCCGTGAACTGTCAAGCTGGAGAGCGACGTGCAGCAGAAAACTTGGAGGATGCTTAAGCTTTGCCTTTAAGAGTGGAACGCGATAGCGTTGTCAGGCCCCGTTCGCATCGCCTTTTCATTCGCTTCTCACGCTCTTCCTGCCAGTAAACAGGGAGTGCGGCGGACATGGCCTTGTCGGTAGCGTGTCTGGTTCGCAACGGAAGGGTCGTGGGCTCGAGCCCCGACTTGAATTCTTCGAGGCAAATGAATTACTTGATAAAGTTAAATCGTTTGAGACGTGCGGCAACCTTTAATTTGCATTACGTGCTATGTTTCTTTAATTGCTCTCATTGCAGATGTGACGTCACATATCACGTGAGCGTTGTTTGAAATTCTCGTGCGAGGTTATGTGGCTGTGAAGTCATGACCCTATCGACCAATCAGGATCTTCCGGTATCAAAACCACCGACGCCGGCGTCTGCCATGTTCTCCCCTGCGGCTGCTGAAACGCCGGCGACAGAATCACATTTCTATGACGTCATGAGCCGGAAATCGAGGGACCACCTTTTTGGACCTGGTAGACAGACCTGTCGAAGACGCGTTCCGGGTTCCTTAGTGCTGAATTTTCTACGCGTGCATCTATACCGAGGGTCAACGCGCGCGGGGCGCACCCTGGACATGAGTGCTACGTCAGCGTAATGCAAGAACAAAATTTAAAAAAAGCAAAAAAACAAGAAATACAACAACAGAACACGAAGGGGTGCTCTCAATAAGTAACGTAAAGAATAAAATAGCACTAGGTTGTTTATTTAAATTCATCGACAGCTGAAGGAATGTACGGCGTAGTATGGCATGTTGACGCTTCTTGTTTCCAGATTCGTCCTTTGCGGTTAATGCCTCGCAACCTTATTGACTGTGGAACCACAACGGACTGCTTTCGAAAGTCACCTGCCGAATATTAGAAGGTCGGAACCCCTGCACAATGGCGGAGTAAGTGCCCCCAGGAATGTGCAAGTCATTCGTTAAAGGGGCACTGAAGTCATTTTTGGAAAATGTCGTTTTTGATCTTATATTGTCTAAATGTGTTAGGTTTTCACATTTACCAAGCCCTATATTACAACACCGCCTATTCATCTCAGGGCAAGAAAAAACATGTGGTCTCTTTTTTTTTTTCTTCTCGGGGACTACACTGCGTGGACCAATGAAAGCCCTACAATTCGCGCAGATTCCGAATGATTTTATTACAACTCGTTTCGACGAGAGTTTGCTAGGTATCCGTTCAGATAAGACTCCTCTTTTTCAGCGCGGGCGAAGCCATTGCTTGCAACTCGCGGACAAGCGCCCTTCGTCGACCACTTTACTCGGAAGAAAATTCTTCCCAAAAAGGGCGTGTCGCGATCTTTGAACGCGTTTTAAACGCGGAAATAGGCTACGCACAATAGACCGATCTCACCAGCTAGTTTGAGTACGCCACCGCTGCCGCCAAGCATCGTGGGAGCTGTAGTCTTGCTGCACGCGCGACAACCCTGCTGTAGGTCTGCGCCAGCAGAGCACGAGGCGGCACGAGCTATCCGTGAACTGGCGTCTGCCTCTTACGAACTACAGTTATGGCGGCGTCACGCATGCGTGGAACGCTTGGTGGGATCGGTCTATTGTGATTTCGGGTTTGTTGAGATGCTTAGAGCGTCTAGATTGAGTTGTCAACATAAAGGAACGATCTCAGGATAGACTTCAGTGCCCCCTTAAGATAGCGAACGTCGGAGCGCGGCCAACACCACAAGCCGACGAGCCAATCAAACAGCGCCGAAAGTGCAACGTCACGGCGCTCATAATTTTTTACCTTTGGGTGTTTTGCTTTCCAGTGTGCCGTGAAATTGAGGTTTTAGTCGGCCATTGTGCAGGGATTTCACAGCTGCCAACAGAGGGAAGTATTTCGAAAAGGGCTCGGGACCCCTTACGCCTGGTGTTTCTTAAACCGGAGGTGACTATACTACACACTTTTCCAGCTCTTACCACCGAGGCGAAAAATGACGAGTCACTGGGATGTGGACGCATGCGCGGTATCTAAAATTCGGCAGAATGCGGAGAGCAAGTTCGTCTGCTTCTTGCACAGGAATTGCGATGATGTCAGAACGCAAGGTTATTATTGGCTAATGGAAAACAATTAGTGGGTAGACCTCGAGGCATCTTGCATTGAGATCTATCCACTATCCTTCAAATCAAATCCAATCAGAACTCGGCGCCGTCCTGACGTCATCGCACCGCACCCCCCCCCCCCCCCCGCCCCCCCCCCCCTTCCCCGGGCAAGAGACATGCTGTTCAAATTCGGCAGACTGCGCATGCTCAGATCGCGTTTCACACCCCCAGTGGAGAAAGAGTGCAGCGCGCAGGGGCTCTGCAGACTCGTCAAACACAAAGTTGGAGCCAGAAGTGCGCCAATTGGACCTCTTCGACAAAACCGCCCAGTCATCCTCGCGTGCAGAGGTCCAATCGGCGCGATCCGTCAACTTCGGCCCCAACCTTGTGTTTGACGAGTCTGGGGGACCCAGAATGTGAATGTTGGAACGGTATATAGGTGGTGGTGGGTGCTGATGCAACCCAAGCAGAGGCAAAGAAAAGGGCGAGACACAACGGGGTTTTCAGAGGTGCCAGAGCCGCCTTGCATAGTTGCATTTTATTGAACGCTATCGGCGAAAAAGGCAACAGAGCAAGTGGGCCCGACGCAAGCCCACTCAGCGAATTCTCGGCGGTTTTCGCAAGAACGACAACAACCGTGTTCGGGAGACCGAGAGCCCAGCTCCTCTTCTGGTGTTTCCGGCGATTCCCCATCCCCTCCCAGAAAGCTCCACGTGTCGACCGCTTTTGATAAAAACAGTCAAGAACGTAATATATTTGTTTGTTTGTAGTTTTCGTGAAAAAACAACAACAAAAACGAAACAACGATGGTTTGCCAGACATAACTGGAACGTTACAAAATAGTCGCACGCAAGTCTGCTCTGGCTTACAAACAGGCAAAGATGCGACGAACGGTTTGTTTGCGTCGAAGTAACCCGCACGCCGTTCAAACATCGTCGAAATGTGCGGAACGCGGAGTAGAAATAATCTAAGCACATATTTATAGTATTTATAATATGTACAAAGAGTGAGCATTAACCGAAACTGCCCCGCTTGTGTCAATTTCTCTTCTGGAACGCCGGAAACAGCTCCTCCAGCTAAGAACGTACAACGTCTCGGAGCTAAGTACCGTCAGCAAAAAAATAAATACCGTCAACCACTTTAGCGAGGATGTCCGCGTAAGTGGATCACTCAAAATATCTCGTTCATAACACAACCGGAGTTAGGAAAACGCATTTTCTCCCTTTATTTGTAAAGCACCACGCTTAAAGTTTAGGCCCATATGCGACGTACAGTTATGCAAAGCGAATTTCTTATTGATGTTGTCATTGAGCCGCAAAGTACGAAAGACAGCAACGTAACCGAGGGCTTGACGTTGAATACCGCGTCTCATGCCTTCTCCCTGAACGAAGTAAAAAGTTATTACTTTTGATTCAGCATTTTTATACTCTGGTGCGTGCAAATTTACGTTCGTCACTTCCCGTTTCCTGGGACCCTTTCTGACCTGTGAAAAACACTAGCGGTGAAGTAGTTTAATCGTGTCACTGAGATCTGAGGTGCAAGCTTCCTGCCTTGTGCCAGTTAGAAGTGCCACCAAAAAATAAGGAAAGTCTGCAGGATTTGTCCCATCGTATGCACGGCAGGATTAGCTCAAACCAGGAACGAAGACCAGAGGTTACCACAATGAAGGTTCGGTCATAAGTCTAGCACTACCAAGCGAGCGAAAGAAAGCAAAATAATGTTCACCCTGCGCAATAACAAAGCATAATTTCGGGTTCAAGTAGGAAACGTTTAGGTGGGACAGCCACTGATACGATAAAGCTTTGGTTGGGGCTAGTTGGGTCTTATCGATTAAAAGGTTAAAAGGCGCGAACAGGACGAAAAAAGACACACGTACGACACGGACGGGCGCCTGTCCGTGTTGTACGTGTGTCTTTTTTCGGCCTGTTTGTTCGCGCCTTTTAACCTTTCACTGATACGAGTTCAAGGCGTGGAAGTCACAGACGTGGCTACTTGTTGGGGCAGTGTGCGCCCTACGTGAAGGCTTAAATCCTTAAAGAAAGTGATGGAAACCACCACACGGAGATTCGTTTCACTCTTCAAAATTGCTTCGTTTTCAAAATCGTCGTCGAAAATGAAATAGCTACATTTTGTTGCGTAATGCAGATGAGGCGCCGTAAAGAACTCAAACCTGAAGTTCCTTAAAAAAGAAGGAATTACATCGGTTACTGTTCTACATACCACAGTATTTTTTTTACAGGCCCCCTAGAAGGTTTTATTTTGAGAGGCAGTAGCACCGGCAGCACTTTGCTGTGAATGAGCGGTAATGCACGCGCCTTGCATCTACATTCTACCTTGAGTTCTAACTTACTTACCTCGCTTAATTAATGTCATTACGGTAGCATTTGTGTTAGCTACATTTGCAAACGAGCCACGTGTTTCTTTGTCGATATTATGCACTGTCACTTCGACGGTCAATCTGGGTGGCATGATATTTTCAATGGGTAGATCTCACGCATCTTGACTAGGCTGCGCTGCCTTGAGCCACTGCAATAAATGTGAGCCATGTTATGTGGGATAAAACATTGCAATGTGAAAGTAAAAAAAGGTAAACATCCACAAAACGAGAAAAGAGTCAAGGTACAGGCTAGCTGGTGGAAGTCAACCATTTCGTCGTTTACCCTGAGACTGGGTTTGTATCGTTGCAAACGGTAATTCGTCTACTGAAGAAAATACAAAAAACAAGGGAGACGCAAAAACAAAAAAAAGGCGCAGTTGCTTTTTTTTTCAGTCTGTCTGTTAAATATTTGCAACAATCTGAAATCAAACAGTGCTCTCAGAATTTATTTAACACGTTTTCACCACGTATAGAGCTACCTCGAGAACACTGAGCGCTTGTTTGACTCGTTTTACTCTACTGGAAATGTTATATCATCATCGTTATGAAGTATCTATATTCATCATTATTGCATTGCGCGAACATTAAAGTGAGTTGTGTCGATTCCAAACTTTCCGCGCAGCGAGCGGAGGTTGAGTGGTGCGCAGGCACCCGGTATCTCTGAAGTCGCCTAACTCGTGGTCACGTGCTTTTCTAGCGCAGTAGCTGTAGGATTTTGCAAAAGTGGACTAGTGTACATCAAAACTCGGCCCCTATAGACAAATGTTCCTTCGTCGCTTTTTTTATGTAAGCGGAGAAATGTTTTTATAGGTGAGAGCTATAGAACGCGCGGGGCGAGGACAGAATCTATCTACAACCTTTTGAAGTAGTCTGAGGAGGAAGGGCTCAGAAGTCATATAGGAGAAAAATCAACAGCAAACAAAACAGAACATACACTGGTTTGATATCACACCCCTCTTTGTAGACATAACTCGACAACCATGTGGCCGCTTGCTCTCGCCCGTACTGATACTAGTTTATTTTACCTTCCTTTTGTAATGCCTACTAATGCCCGCATTAAATTTTTACTTTTTTTTGTGAGTATTCTGTCGCCAATACAGATTTGGTTTATGAGGATAGCGCACAACAGAGCTGAGCTACTGAACCACTAACTAATCGGAGCCGAATATGTTACCTGCGATCCATTTCACAAGTTGTGCGTAGGGCTATGAGAGTGCAGGCCCAGCGACGAAACTCCAGACAGTGCAGCGTTCGCGCGAAGATTCACCCAGTGAAAAAGCACTGCATCAAGCCACGACCATCGCCCCTCCCACGCAGCTTTATAGCGCGTTTACATTTGCGAATTCGCGGGGGCAGATCCCCGCAGGCGGAAGATGGACTTTGGCGCCGGGTGGCGAAATCGACTCATCGCTGGCAGAAAATATGGATACGGGTCCCTGACTGATCCAGATTTTCTGCCAGCGACGAGTCCTGTTCGCCACCTGGCTCCCAAAATCCACTTCCCGCCTGCGCGGATCCGCCGGCGAATCCGGAAGTGGCAATGCGCTATTGCACAACAAGCGAGGTGGGAAAAGGTGACACACTCGAAAAAGCTATGACCTGCTTGAACTACAAGCTGCCTCACAAGTCCGAATGCATCCGACTCTACGACCAGATGACAACGTGACGTCACGTGACGTAACATTGTCATGTAAAAACGATGACTTTAGAGTTTTTTCTCTTAGGACTTGTCATCGTTGCAGCAACATGACGGCAAGACAGCAGCTGTTGTGCACACCCGGACGACATTACCGAGGCTACATCCCATGCGCGGACACGGAAGCCCACAAGAGCTGGCGCTATAAATGGTATGCATTGGAAAGCCCCATGGTTACGTCGAGTGCTGTTGCAAGGAGGGACGACCAGTGAACTGAACTCTTTGAAGGAAACCGGCGCATCCTCGAGCCAGACTACGCAAGGCCCTCGCCCGCTGCCGGATGTGCCACCGAAGCAACTCTTGCCCAAGCAAGGATAGGGAAGGTCTGACTGTGTCGTGCTTTTCTCGGATCGGCACGAGGTTTCCCATAGAGCTGCCTCGAATGACAGGACTAGAAAAAGGCGATAGTTCACGACGCGGCGACAAAGACGGACAAACGCGAGCGCCGTAGGTTTCGTCGCACCGCACAACCAACGACAGGACTTGAAGAGGAAAAGCTCCGGAGCAAGGAAGCTGGATGAGAGCGAGGCACTTGAAGCATCTACTTTCAGAAACAACGGCGGGGTGGCTTTCATGCAGCCGCCCTTCGCGTGAAAACAAACTTCAAAAAGAAAATGATGTGTCGCGGTAGTGATATCTGTGACATCGTAAGTAAACTTCAGTCACTCTAATCTCATCCCTCACTCAAAGCTCGGCGTTGAGACCGTTAAGTAGGTAGGGTTTCACGATGTGAGGCTATAAGCACCGAGTTTCGAAAGCCTCAAAGCTGTATGTATACAACCATTACCCAGAGATGGAATAGACGTCATTCAGGTGCCCTGACGATGTTCTGCGTTTCATTTCTTGACTAGATCCTCTAATATCAAACATGCTTATCAAATGATTGCGTCTGGTTCCAGCGCTGATGCCCAGGTGCAGTGTACCAGAAGGGAGGAGTGTTGTAACCTCATCCATATCTATCGCAAAGGCTTTAGAGCTGATGGTGTTTATCTGGACTCTCAGAACATTGTTGTTACTGCATATTTCCGAGCCTCAATCGTCCCAATGATGAGATGTAAAAACGACACAGTTCGCTGTGATAATTTGGCGTACAAATTATGGAGAGCCAAACATTTTGATTAAGAAGCGGTAGAAGTGGTCTCAGTGCGGCATTGTTGGACCCGCAAACAGACACAGAAGATGGCATCATTGTCGTTCTGTAAGTTGGGCTTCCACGCTAAGCCCCCCCAATAAACTGGATCCGTTCTCAATACTACCCCTCATAGTAATAGACTCCAGCCGAAGTTTATGAACTGTACACCGGGTAGTCAAGACCAGACGAGACATTTGTGCCACCCCTGCCGGTAGACGTTAATGGGCGTTCCCAAACGGCAAAGACAAGACGTGCCCCGCGGTGGCTTTTGGAAGGAGCACTGATGGTGCATCAGGAAGTCATCTATGCCGAAAAATGTTTTGTCTTTATGGTTACTACCACTAGTTGCTCTAGCACAGCGTTTGCACTTCCTGTGACCACTTTCATCGTTGGCGTTTCGAGAGCACCATACCTTCAACAGGGATTCAGACTTTTAAATAAAAACAAGTGCCGTAAAAATGCATACCATACGTAAGCTTATACATTCCGCGTGCTGCGAGTACTTGAGTAGCGTACACTTTGTTTCGTAAGTTTCTTTGTTTTTACACAACATTTCGTTTGCGTGTTTCTTCTTCCTTTCTGTGGGTGTATGAATGTATGCATGCGTGTGCTTTGTGAGTATGACAATTTACCGGGAGATTCCGCCCTTCGTTATTTTCGCGCGGACCAGTTCGTTGAGACACACACACGGGCTGCTAAGGAACTTGAGGCTCGTAGCGTATGTTGTGGCGTAGTCCCGCAGGGGCTGGTCATTCTCCTTTATCCGCCATGTTTTCCCAGTACTTGCCGTTAAGATGGCGTAGCCGTGAAGAAGTCAATTCAACGAGTCACGAGATCGGTCTAAGTGCCCGTGCAGCAGGAGACGCCTTCCAGCCCAGCTGTCGTCGGTCGTCGCTGCACAGAAACAATCACAGAAGCGCCAGAAATGGTGCGCTGCTCCACACATTGGCTGCGCTCGCGGAGACGCCGCCACGATGAAGACGTGCGCGCGGAATGTCACATGACCACTGCATCACCATCTTTGCCGTCGTTCTTTCGTGGTCTTAACACCCATTTTAAAAATAACAACTAAGGTATAACGGAGGTGGTAATCGATCCGGAAACGTCGTCCCGTGTCCACAAGTCGAGAGAAGCTCTTTCACGTCCTACGCGCACACTCGCAACTAGCACCTTACCGAGAGTGAGAGTGAAAAGGCTACTGAGGTGAAAGGGAAGCTGTTCTTTGCACTCGAGAACCACGAGAAGCCCGTGTCTTCTAACCAGCAGTTGCAGAAGCTCGAGAAGTTTGCAGTGGGGGGCGTGTAGGTGCCTCCACAAATGCAAGGCGTGCTCCGGTACGCGATGTAGGTCCTCAGAAGTCATCAGAAGTCTTCTTTAGGAGATTTGATATTCGGTAGTCATTGAGAATAATCAGCAGTGGTTGTGAGCTTCCAAGAGAGTTCAGGAGCGTTCAAGGACCAATATTTCCCAGTGCTGTATGCTGAGCTGGCGTTGTCCCGAAGAAGGTAGTTGTAGTGGTGACATATACATTTTTAGGGGAAGCAGGCGTGGCTTGACGAGGTCCAGCCTGTGAAGGCACCATTTCCGCTGTGTGCACGGTAGTGCTGGGCGAGCTCCCGGCGGCTCAGGAGGAAGCGACCTTGACGGGCCGGCTGCAGATGTCCATGCTAGATGAATCCGCCCAAGCTCGACGAAGCTGTAGGGGAGCCGCGACGTGCGTGCGAGCAAGGCAGAAGAACCAGTGGCGTGGCTCAGACGTCGGATGTTCTGCTCCTGCTCCTCTCCCGGCTGCCGGAAACAGAGGGCACCAGGATCACGCCACCTTGTCCGGGGGCATCCACAACCTCCGGAAGGGACCCGTCCTTATTACCAAGCTTCGGCTTCCTCTGCGGTACGATAGAGAACATTGTCACGCTAAAAGGAGTAACATGATGCACTGTTAAAGATTACGAAGTTCATTTTGCCCTCTACGACGATAAAAGGATAGCAGTGACGGCTTTCACGGGAGAGACGGCTGTCATATAAGCATTGTGTGGCGGTAAGCTCGGCGCTTGTGGTCGTTCGAGCGTTTGGAGTAAAAACAATGGTGTGATTTGGCGTGTATATTTATGTCCCCTACAGAAAGCTAGTAGACCTTCACTGTCATGTCAGGAAACACTGTGTTTAGGTGCCTGGTCGTGAATATTCTTTCGCGAAGCTGCCACCCTATACAAAATGTAGAGCCACGAGCATACATACATCCCCCACCCCTCTACTACTACTCACCGGGGCCAGGTCTCCGGGCAAGGATGCACTTCGACCGGACTCAGGCCAGCGTTCTTGGCTCGGACTCACCGGGCACGTCAACATGCTGGAAGCTCTCCTGCGCATGACGTGTGCGGAACCACCAAGGCGATACATCATGTAGTGATTTCACCATCAATTAAAAGTCGAATCACGTCATTTCTGATCCTATCTTCTTTAGTTTACGTGAGTCTCGGTTTGTACTGAAGTCGTGCAAAAGGGTCTCTACCACTGAGAATACCGCCCATATGATACGAGAGAAACTGAATATCGTATCATTTAGGGGTCAACTTTCATGTTCCTGTAAGACGAGGTTGTTGGGATATTGCAGCTCAGCTATAACTAGACGATAGAACATAAACATATCTTAGCTCTACTCAACTATCTTTCCTTAAATATTGAATAAAAAGACGACACAATCCCTGATTCACACAACCTCTGAGGGCATTCCACCACAATGTACGTTTTTGCATAATAGGGGAGGCTCTGTTTTGATAAAAATCACTGCAAGGTAAAGTTGTCAGTCAACATTAAAAAGAAGCTAAAACACTTCTTAAAAAAAGAAAAGAAAAAACAAGTTAGAGGAGACTTTTGGCTTCTTTGTGTCCCGTGAATCTGAGTATAACATTCGTTTTCCCCGAAGATGTAACTAAACGCAAAAAACGCGAAAAGCCTCCGACCAGTCGTGACGTCATACTAGAATGTTTTGGCCGCCAAGCGCGTGCCGCTCCTGTAAAGCGCGTGCAATTGCAAGCTTGCCAGGTATATTTTTCCGGACTGACATCAGTCATGACGTCTCCTTGTGACCTTTTTGGAAATAGCAAGAGTGCGCGTGCATAGCTTTGACAGAAGCTGAAGATGCGCGAGAGCAGAGATTCTGAAAACTCCTAGTGTGACCTCACGCCCCGGGAAGGAGGGGCTTCGGCGGTATTTTAAAAATTAATTTCTGCGGCCTCCGTGCACCGAATTTAAAAATAATTTCAATATTCGTGATCCTGGAGGCCGAATGAATGCCATTGAAGTTTTCTTCTTTTTCGCAAATACAGAACACCCCTTAAGTTTCCCTTTAAAGGGATACTTCAACGAAATTTGAAATATTCCCGTCGTATTCAAAAATAGGTTCAATATGATCCACAATATCCGTAAATGACAGTCGCACGTTTGTATTTTGATCCTGGTGGCTGTATTTTTCGTTATAAACGGCCCACTCTGGCAAGTGCTCGGAGAAGCCCCAGCGGAGACCACGTGACATCCAACGCAATCGTGACGTAGGTCGTCTCAAGACGAGCAAAGCTACGGCGAGGCTGACGTCGAGAGGATGGCCTAGTCGTTCCAGCCACCGAAGCGGCTGCTTTTGTACGAATTTTGAGTGCCGGGTTAATCTTCTATAATCTTCTAGGGGGACAATAGCGACTTCTGCAACACACAAAAGGGATTCTCGGGAAGAGGGGAGTTCCTCCTTCCCCCCTTCTCTCGTCGTGGCCGGAGACGAGACAACCTCCGTCACTAGCTGTCAAGGTTCGTAGACGAGCATTACAAACGAGGCGTTAGCCTCGTTTGTAATGCTCGTCTACGCTCGGAGCAAACAGCATCCACCAGGTGCTGTTTGCTCGGAGCAAACAGCATCCACCAGGTGCTGTTTGCTAATCGTTTAATTCGTCTTAAAATTCCTTTTCGAGACTTTTTTAACAAGATATTGGTATGTTCCATGTGATACTGCTCTTTTGAACACATATAGACCAAAAAATGAGCGCCGAAATTTCGTTGTAGTATCCCTTTAAGCAAAAGCGCACATGTGATCTATACTCCAGTGAATTATGGCTTTCTCCATAAGGTCGTGGACACCGCGACAAGGGTAGGCACTAAGGTAAGATTGAGTTGTTCCCTCAGCGGGTGCTGCCTCTCCGTATGCACCACACAGAGCACAAACATTTCGTTGATTCGCGGGCGGTCGCATCACAACGTAACGTGAAGGAAGGGTAATTGAACGCTACAGTGTAAATGCGCGACGGTGTCTTTCACTACTTAGTGTGCCCCCAAGCCAGCGCCGCGTCCAGGGTGGAGATATTCGCCATATGGAGTCGGACTTTCGTCAGCTCTTGACGGCGCTATTTTGAGTCAAATTTGCGCTTATTACCCGGATAAACAGCTTTTACGTCCACGAATTACGTTCCACACACTGCAAAGTACGAAGGCGCAAAATGGGCCCAGGTGGGACCGCCACGTTAGATCAGCCCAATTGAGTTGCTTGTGCCTCAACCCTGGAAGTACGGTTGGTATCAAGAGCACCACTATACTCCGTTCACCCTTAAGATGAGACTAGAAGCTCCGCCTTTAGCGCGAGCTCGCTAGCTTCCGAGGTGGTTTGGTTGTGCGTGCCTCCGCGTTCACACTCAAGTTAGCGAGGGCGGAAAGCTCGCACTGAAGTCAGAGCTTCTAGTCTCATCTTAAGGGTGAACGGAGTATATACTCAAATCACCCTTAAGCTGAGACCTACGTTACTAAAACAACAAGTTGGGAAACTCACCCTTGAAACCTGGACCGTCGGCGTCCACCGAGGCCAACCCAAATACGATAACAGCGCCACCCTTTAGCGACGATTTAAAACGTGAAAGTTGCTTTACATAGCTACTGCTATCTACTATGAGATAGCTCCGCGAGATGGCGCCACTGGCCCTTGCACGACTCGACCTGAACCCATACGCGCAGCTGGGTAGTTCCCGGAGTGGCTGCTGCGGGAGAAATGGCGGCGTTGCTAGGGTGACCACCCGTCCCGCGACTCGCGGGACTGTCCCGCATTGAGGGCTCGGTTCCCGCGTCCCGCGAGAAATTCCAAAATCTTCAAAATGTCCCGCATTTCATGTTGTCGTAACATTCACTACGCAACTCATGGTGTTGCCGAACAAACGGGGCATAGGGAAGCGCGGAGAACGCTAGTAATCGTGTGAATCCCAATAATACGCCATTTTCTATTCAAGCATTGCGGGAAGCGGCCGTCGTTCTTGCAGGAGACACGAGGCGCATGCGCCGTTGTGCCTCCCTCGTGGTGGCTAAATATTGCGAGAAAAATAGTTCGCCAAAAGTTTAAATATAAAATATTGTACTAATTATTTTCAATTCGCTGTGTCAATGCGAAAAGGTGGCTGTGGATTTTTTTTTTTTTTTTTTTAATGAAGACAGTTACAGTTGCAATGGTCGAAAGAGAACATTATGTTAAAAAATCTGTCTGAAAACTCCGAGACTGAGACGAGAAGGGACGAACTGCCGGTGTAGATAATTAAAAAAAAAAAAAAAAAAAGATTTTGCTTTTATTGTTTAAATAAGGACACTGCTTCTCAGTTCTACTGTAAAGGTTGCTTTGTTGTACTGCTTGTGGAATGGGATTGCCCATTTCTCTCTCTCTCTCCCTCTCTCTGGTGTTTTGTGTAGGATTTGATGCCTATATAAGCCCTTTCGTTGTCAAATAAATTTCAGCTGTGTTTGAGACTTTGTTTGTTCGGCCCTTCTTGTCCCAGTCGAGTGGTGTTCAGTCAAACGTTTGACAACCACCAGCTCGTTGGCGCCCTAACCGTTGGTTCACTAATGTAAAAAAAATTGTGCAGGACCATGTTGATAAAAATAAGCGTTGACAGGAAACAATAACCCGAAAAGATTTACTCTTTGTTTTATTTACATTTGATGCCTCGAGGTCTGATACCGTTAATATTTGTTTTCAACTTTGACACATTTAATAACATGTTTTGCATTAAAAAATATATCACTGGGAGTGGAAAATATTTGAGCTTAAGCGTTGCCGGTGTAGAAACAGTACAGGATAAGAAACGTGGTAACAGAGCCTCGATTCGTTGTGTGCGTGTTAATAAACTTCCTCCCGCCCCCGCCCCCCCGCCCCCGCCCCCGCCGCCCCCGCCCCCGCCGCCCCCCCCCCCCCCCCCCCCCCCCCCCCCCCGCTCCGCGTGTCCCGCATTTCGCTAGCAGGAAGGTGGTCACCCTAGGCGTTGCGGCTGCGTTTAGTTCGGTTCTCGAGTACTAACCGGAGCCACTTTTTCAAAGCAGGCTCTAGATGGCAGTTTCTCAACTGAGTTCTTCTGTAGTAACGTTGGATGAGACTGCAGCCAATGCCAGGCACAGGAGAGCTCGAAGTCGCTGCTTCGAAGGGATCTTCTGCCGAACGAGCACTCAGCTAGAAAGTGCACGTCTCAAAGCCTGGAGCGCGGGCTAACTGGCCTTGTAGCTTTGGAGTGTCATACCGGTGATACAAAAAAGGCCCGCAGACATGTCTGAAGCAGACATATCATCACGGATGGGAACCGGGAAAGGGACGTAGAACTTAAAATAAACGTTTAATAACCAAACTTTCGTCGGGGAAAAAAAACAAAAAACCACGCATCCTGCGTCGGAAGGGCGCGACTGTCCCGAACAGCCCGTTTTACCGCTGCTTTCAACATGCGGCAAGTTCAAGAATGTTCCGAAACAGAATGCACGAAGACAGCCGAGAATGAGCCGAAACCTCTTTCGAGCGGTACAAAATCATGAAGAAAGAACCGAGAGTCGAGCGGGGTTTCGGACCTTGTTCTTTTGCGTGGCAGTTGAGCGCGTTGTCAACTCTGCCATGAACGCGGCAATATGTGCGAAGCAAAACGTGCTTCGATCCTTTGCGCGGCGCTTTGTGAGTGAATGTTTCCCATCGAGACTCACCTGGGGCCCGCGGTGGGAGTGACGTCAAGGACGGCGTTCCTGGCGGGGGCTTGCGACGCAAGAGGCAGCGTCTGGAGGCTCGCCGCGGTCCTGGGCGGGGCGCCGCGTGGTTCGGGACCCTGCACAGACCTCGAGCGAACCGGGAGGTCGACCGGACGCGAGGCGAGCAGCGTGGGCGCTGGTGCTGCCGACGCCGCGGACTCGTGCGGCGAAGAGTCGGCCACCGACGTGGTCGAAGACGTCAGGTTTGGGTCTCCCTGAGGGTGAGCTGATTGGCCGAGAAGGCGCAGGATGGTCTGCATGTCCTGGGCCAGCCGGGACTCCATCGCGGACACCTGCCTGTGAGGGAGGGACCACGAAGGCGTAAAGCTCAGTACACACACAAAAAAAAAGAAAAAAAAAGAAAACCTTTAACACTTTTAAGCTGTAGTTACATTGCTCACAGATTATACGATTTACAGGCTTCAGACACTGTTTGAGGGATGTTTCTTCCTTCTATGACAGAACCTGTCCCCAAGCAAAAAAGCCAGCGGACATGTTCCAAGCGTGTCTAATGTGTGAGGGAAACATGCTTCGAAGATGCTTGATGCATGTCTGCAGAAAATTTTGTCATCATGCCGGCAGAGAACAAAGTGTCTTTTGTGTGGCGTACGAGCAGGGGGAGTGCGCCTTTACGGGTGTAAAAGAAAGGGTGTTTCAGAGACTTGAGGCCGGTTCACACACTCGCGACTGCTTACGACCGGAGAGGCTAAAAACCCGTTTTTAATCCTCTCGCCATGGATAACGACCGGCTGAATTTCTGCACAGCCGGTCGATACTCGATAGCAGTCACAGGATGCTTAAAAATCGGTCTTGTCTCTGTGGGTTGTACTCAAACGCAAGTGTGTGAACGGGCCTTTACAGCCGTTACTGCAGCCTTTCAGTCAGCGGCGCACACAAGGAAATCCTCCTCCTCCTCCTCCTCCTCCCATTTAGGGGGAGGGGGTGTTCGTAAGGTCAACTATTTTGTAATTAAAAAAATTTATATAGATCAACCAATATATAATAATTTTTGGTGAAATGGCAAACTTTTGGTCAACAAAATATATCGGCAACGTATCGGCCGTAACGCCATGTCTCAGCAGACTCTCTCCTCTCCCCTCTCTCTCCCCCCCTTCCCTCCCCAAAATTTGACCCATAATTCAACCCCTGTGCATGCGTGAAACGCTCGGTGGGATCGGTCTATTACTTTCGTTGATTTGCTAAAAGAACAGTTGGACGGTCAGCTACGTTTTGGTGAATTTGCGTCCCGAAGATTTAATTTATCTTTAAAAAGTGCTCAAATCCTTTTTACAGCCTAGCATGTGCAAATAAAAAGTAACTGTAGGCTTAGCATACCAGCTCGTTTGCGGTCAGTACCACACGCCATAACTCAATAATAAAGAATCGGTAGATTTAGTATTTGCAGCAAAGAAATGATAAGATAGTAAAGGTTGCAGGAAAACCACCTGGTAACGTAGAGCACTCCTAGTAGTCAAATTGTTCGCACTGAAGTCCGGACAGCGAGAAATTGGTTCACCTTAAAATAATGCAGGTCTCCGCTATCGATGGGGAAATTTCCCAATGCTGTATGACTACACCAAAGACTACAGATCGCGCGCGTTAAAATCATAAAACAAGATACAGTCAGTCGAACCCACGCTCTCAAAGAAAACAAAACCCCGAAAACACAGAACGCTGAGTTCTGTGTTTTTGCAGTTTGGTCGCTGTTGGATTGATTCCAGTTCCTCGTAGCGTCGGCTGTGTCTGGAATTATGATGAAATGAAGTACCATAAGGTTTTGCCCTATTAGAGTACTGCTCCGATTCGGCGTTTTTAGGGTTCGTCCTGGTTTTGATAAAACCAGCCTGGAGTTTAATTTGAGGGGTTTATCAATATTAACCGAAAATACGAGACCCTACTTACGAGCTACCGGAACAAAGACACGTGTCCTATCGGGCTTACCTAGCGAGGTCATCGATTCTCCTCTCGAGCACGCCGAGCCGTCCACCCTGAGACTCCTGGTGCCCCGGGAAAGGGGGCTGCGGCGGCGACGTCCCCGTGGCCGGACTGCACGACACCGGCAACGTGACGCTCGAGCTGGAGCCCTGCGCCGAGGAGCCGGCCACCCGGACCAGCGTCGTCGCGGCGGCTCCTGCCGGAACGCACAGTTTGGGGGACCAGTTGGGAAGGCTGCCGGCACCGGCCCCACCGCCACCGCCGCCGCCTGAACCTAACACGTCGCAACATCATTATGTCGCAAAGAATTGCGTCGTAACGAACTCCGTCGCAACAGAACCAGTTTCAGCGGAATTCGTCGTAGCGGAGTTCGTCGCAACGGATGTCGTCCTTACGAACTTCGTCAACAGCGGTACGAGACGGCGACACACAAATGCAATGCTACAGCCACTTCTAAACTCGGGTCGGTGTTCCTGCAGTGCTTCGTTGCGAAACATTCCGCTTGTCTTCTATGAAGGCCAACGCAAACCCCCGTAAACGGGTGCCCCGCTGCTTGCGGTAGTATCTTTTGTGGGCTTCTCTTGGCAAGACCTCCCGTCGGAGCAGGACGAGCCCGCCTTGCCCCCCTAGCCAAACTCCCTCTCCTAAAGCGCCTCCTTGGCACGGCGAGCATGGTCATACTCAGCACGTTGCCACTTCCTTTCAGCCGGCTACTTCTTGCGTTGCGGAGACTGCAGCGTCTTGTCCCGCCTCCCGCCCACGTGTGCGAGAAGGAAAGGAGGATCACATGTATCTCACTCTTCTACGACCCGCCCTTGCCGATGATGAGAAGAGGTCCACCACAGGTGTGCTCCACTCTGCCCCGCATTTTCGATGTGACGAGCGCAATTTGTGTACTTTCAATAAATAATGTTTAGAATTGTTCATCGACATTCATAACCTAAAAAAGTACGCGTTAGTTTGTTGCTCCGCGCAACGACTGTCGCGGAAAAAATTCGAGCAATACGAGCAGCGTTCACCTCAACTCTCAGCCAGAACAAGCGGTCACGTAATCAGGAGCCGACTATGCCGGCCATGTTTATCGTAGCCACGCTGCAGGGTGAAAAAAAGAGTTACACACACTGTTGAGGTTCGTCGTTTTCCGTCATCGCAGCGATTGGGCACGAGCAAATACCCAAAATGCATGTCGAGATATTGATTGTCATGAGCCCGAAACGAATGCTCACGCACTGCTCGTGTTTACTATATACAGGGTTGCCAGGCGTTCGAGATGAAAACAACCCCAAAAAATTGCCAAGAGTAGCCAAAAAGATAGCCAACTGGAGCTGAAGGTATTTTTAGTAGCCAAACAGTATCCAACACGCACAAACTGAACAAAAACGTCGGGTATTATTTTCGGTACGCGCAAAAATGGAGCAACTTTGCTTTCACTTTTCTTGCTGCAGTAACTACGATTAAAAAAATGAAAGACGTTTGCAACTCCTCGTAACGCCGAATTAGAGCGCAGCTCTTGAGAAGGGGGGCAGGGTACGGAGGGGAGAGTATGACCCCCTCCCCTCTCGTCCTCCTCTCTCGCTCCCCTACCATTTAGTGGGAAATCTTTGATACTTTTCCCGCTAAATTCACTGGAAAAATTCCCTGCTAAGTTTAGGGGGAAAAACTTTCCGCTAATTTCAGCGGGGAATCCTTTTCCCGCTAAATTTAGCTGGAAATTTAGCAATTTAATTTAGCAGAAAATTTTTTCCGCTAAATTTAACGAGAATTTTTTTCCGCTAAATTTAACGGGAAAAACTTCCACTAAATCTAACGGAACTTAGCGGGAAACGTTTTCCGCGAAAATTACCGGGGCATTTCTTCCGCTAAATTTAGCGGGATATTCGAGCCTTCGACTGTGCCCAAACGTAGTGAAACGAAGTGTATAGAGGAGTTGAAAGCTCCCAGATGAGGAGGTCTTTGCCCGCTCACCGTAAGGCCTGGGCGAGGCGCCGGTGCTGTGCGTGGCTGGCGCCGCCTGCTCGGTGGCCAGGGTCGCCGCCTGGGCGTCGTGCAGGGACGACCTCCGAAGGTCGCCGTCCTCGGCGCGACCCGAGCCAGACCGCGCCGTCGCGGGGCTGTGCGACCGAGACGCAGAGCTCGTCCCAAACACGGCACTCGTCAGGTTCGTCACGCTCGTGATGGCGCCTGAGGAAGCACATCCAAGTTAGGTGTATATACTCCATTTCACTTTGAGTGCGCAGCCAAATCAAGCGGCGTCAAAAAGTGCAATGTCACCGGCTAAACTGCAGTCGCACATTAAATCCGCAGTCGAACTGCTCAAAGTAAAGGCTGTAGCTCAAACATAGTACAAAAGGCGCTGTGTTCGCTGCGGACATGGTGACAAAAAGATCTGCGGACATGTCTCAAGAGGCTTGCAGGCATCTTTGCTTTGTACATATGCGTGCTTCGAACAGGTATGCAGGCAGCTTTTTGTATGACCCCCGTGACAGGCTGCCCACACAAGGAACAAACACGCCTCAGACCATCTCTGCAGACTGTCTCTTTTTACGTCGTATTAGCGGCAAGACTCTGCCTTAACATTTCATGGAGTAAAGACAGATACACAAACCGGAATCAATCGTCCTTTGACCTTTTGGCGGGGGATCGGTGGCCTAGTGGGCTAGCGCACACCAGCTCGCAGCTCGTGGAGCGAAAGCTCGCGCTGCAGAACCTATGGGGATCCTCGGTTCAATCCCCACCCCTGCCCGTTTCGACCTGGACGAGCATCGTACCGGCGTGCGGCCGTGTATCACTACTGCGGGATGCACGTTAAAGACCCCAGGCTAGCGTCTCCACAGCACTGACTAAATTTCTCATCTACAGATGGGAGGCAAGTCGCGCGTTGAGGCAGACCAAGTTCTAGGCTGCATAAACATACATACACCCCGATTTTCAACTCTTTGGAGAAAAGACACAAAATTTCCAAAGGAAATACAAATGTCGGAAGCGCCTCGTTCACAAACTTGCACCCGAGGAGGACCGAGAGAGACGAGACCGGGTTTCAAGCCTGTTGGGACGGCGTAACATCTGCTGCGCAGCAGCGCGTCCGGTCGCACGCCGTCCCAACAGTCTTAAGAATCCGTCTTGTCTCTCTCGGTCGTACTCGGTTGGAAGTGTGTGAACGGCGGCTAGGATTCGCGAGTGTGTGAACGAACCTTAAAAAGTATGGGTCGTGCAAGAATAAAGAGACCGAGGATTACGACGCATTCATTGCGCGTGTTTCGTTTAGTGAAAAGGAACGGTGAAATACGACGAGCGCCGCGACGGTGTACGACCCGAGAAACATAAGAATCGTCACGATAAATCAAATAAGTAAAAAGTGTTAATTCATTTTTAATTATTGAAATTACACCTATAGTTCCAATTAGAAACTTGCTGAGCGTAATAGAAAATCGCAAAGTCGGTGAATTTTAGGCTTTGTCGGTTAACACGGAAAGCGCGGTGGCGCGCTAAAGTTGACACTTGCGCGACGGACACGAGGCTGGCGGTGAGTCAGCGAGGATGATAAGACACTGAAAAACCCCCCGGGCGGGTTTTTCGCACCACCAGCCTCAATCTTGCTGCACGGATGGTACATTTAACGCACTATCGCGCTCCGGGCGTGCTCCAAGTCTTTCTCAACTTTACTGATTCAGTATTTTCCAATGCCGCCCAGCAAGTTTCCAATTAAACCGTTTGCTTATCTTCAACAATGAAACAAATGTTAGTCGATTATTATCGTGATGACCATCGTGATGATTAGCCCCTATGTCTCCCTAGCCGAATGACTCACCTGCACAGGTCGAATTAGTGTCAATTTCACGTCTTTTTGTTTTTTAACAAAACGCCGCGGCCACACAATTCCAGTCCAGCCCAGTCCAGTCTAAACGTCCAAATCAGGGCTTAAGATAGACAGGTGGGGAAACGGCCCAGAGAAGCCTACCGCAGCGCTGTGACCGGATTGCGTACTCGTCTGCTTGCGGGTACCCCTGATTTGCAACAGATGGCGCTGCGGCGAGAAGAAAAAAGTCGGAATCGGATTTGCGTGGAACTCTATGGGAGAGTGCGCAAAATAGACCGAGAGCACGACAGTCCTCAATTGAAAATCCACGAGAAACCATCTCCGTCACTTTAGCTGGTCGCCACCGGTCGCCCACCCGGAGTGAGAGTTCGCGGTGCTCCATATAGATAACGCCACAGAAAAAGAGAAAACCGAGGGGTACACAATCCGGTCGTTCATTTGGCTCTCGTTTCCCCACCTGTCTATCTTACCACCCTGGTCCAAACTAAAAACAGCTGCATGCACCAATACAATAAATCCTAACTCCTAAAAAAAAATCCTGCATACTGCACGCGTGTTTAACTTTGAAACTTCTTAGGTTAGTTCGATGCCCGTCATGAAGCGGTATGAAGCGCACAAAACTTACGAGAAACGAGGTACGGCATGACCCTAAACTCCAACGCGACCACTCAACGGAGGTCCATTGCTCGGACCTACCGGCGATGGAGTTGAGCGTTCCGTTCCGATGTCGCCGTCCGTCGGACGTCGGGCTCCTAGAGCCCGCGGCCTCCTGGAAGTCGTAGTTGGCGGGCGTGACGTCGCGGCCTGCCTTGTCTGGGGAGAACTCGAGGATGCCCCGGCCCGAGGACGACCGCAGCGGCGCCGTCGAACCGAGGCCGCCGCCCCGGTCGTCGTCGTCGCCGTCGTCGGAGAAGCCGCCACCTCTGCTGCCGCAATCGTCGTCCCCGCTCGAGGAACCGCGGCCGCCGCCTCCGCCCATAGATCCCGGCCGTCTCCGCCGACGCCGACGGGCACGCGGGAACTGGAAGGCCTGGCTCCGAGAGTCTCCTGCGCACACAACGGTACTCGAATCAACTAACTAAATACTGTTTTTCCTTACTCAAAAAATAACTAAGCACGCTATTCATTACTTGAATTCAAAAGGAACGCGTTACATCAGCTGTAACGCAACGTGTTATTTTGTCGTTATTCTCAATGTGTCGTTTCTTTGAAGCAGTATATAGCCACTTCCAATACCTGCCATCGTCAATAGTTTCTCGCGTTTTAACGCGTTCACTCGGGGTTAGCTGTCGCTATACTGGCATACCTTGTGCACATCTTTTTATGGTCTATCTAGCGCTTTCTCGTCGTGCAAATTACAGGCGCGAGCTGGAGTAAGAGCAAGTCTGGCGAATTGTGCTGTAAAGATTCCCCTTCAGAAGTTTTTAAATGCCTTTACTTGTTACTTCATAAAAAAAGTAGCGAAATTACGTTTCTCGGCCCTTCTCTTAAAATTTAACTCAGTCGTTACTTCGTTACCGAACAAAGTAAGCTGGTACAAGTTAAGCGTTACATGTAATGCGTTAGCTTCAGGTCTGGTTATGGGATGCTGCTTTAACCGTCTGTGGTCCTCGTCGTACTACCGCTCTTTACAATACTGTCACGAATGACAACGGATGAGGCGATGATAGCTGAAGAAACTAAACGTTTAATGGAGCGAACTTGTGCCCAAAAATAAAAAGGAAACAGAAGATAACAAAAGAGCGTCGCGGGCGTCGAAGCCGGCGTAACAGCAGAGTCGAACGCTGGGGCGAGAGAGAGAGAGAGAAAACCTTTATTTTCGCTCCGAGTCCGGAGCTTCCAACGCTGGGGCGAGACTGACTCCGCTCGCCTTGCGCAGTCCCTTATGTACCCTCGTAGGTTTCTGGATCATTCGGCGTAGAACTTTCGGTGCGTAGAACATTCGGAACTTAATCAGACGAGAATGTTCTCGACCTTACGAAAAGGCCAAGTTGCAAGAATAAATAAAAAGACAGACCGTTGACTGGAATTGAACCTACACCTTCCGCGCGACAGTCAAGCGCAATAACCACCTCGGCGTTTTTTTTTTTTTTTTTTTTTGTAATCACTTGGCCACGCACGCACTTGCTCGCCGACGCGCATGGCAACACACACTTCCAGCGCTGATCACTCTGGGAAGAAATGCTGCGTCACTTAGCTGTAGACGCGTGCGTCTGATATAATGCAGAAGCGAACAACTGCGCATGCTCAGAACGCGTTTTACAGCCTAGTGGACAAAGATGGCAGCGTGAAGAAAGCGATTATCGTCACTCTTGCGTTTGCTTAGGGCCGAGTTCTTGTGATCTCTCACGACGAACAGTCGTATATGGGTAGAGTTTGGCCAGTCTATGATCTCGCCGCGTTAACGCCCCCCTCCCTAGTGGGCAAATCAGCTCGCGGCGCAAAGCGAGAAGCGTGAGCGCGTGAACTCCCGGCTGTTCTCAGCTGAGCGGAAAGGGCCGCCATTTTCATTCATTTGACTGGCGGAATGCATGAGATCGACATCCAAATTTTGGTTCTTTCCTTTTATATAAAAAAAGATATATGGGGTAATAAACCGCGTTACCACCGCAATGCGATGTCATTGCGGTTGTTTGCCCCATTTTTCATGGCGGCGTACATTACCTGAATTTTCTAATCCCAATGAAAATTACCGGAGACTGCGGTAAAAGAAGGGGAACTTAGTAAAAGAAAAAAGACACAGGAAAAGGATCGTCTCAATAGCCGAGAGGACATTTCGTGGCCAAGCCTACTTCCGTTACACACGCTCCATGTATGGAGAATGCGAACGCCACCTCCTGCTCACTCTAACCTCCTTGGCGACGAAAGACCGCCGTCTTCAGAATATCGTCTGCTGAACCGAACGCGGTAATGCTATAGTCGGTTACAAGTCAAGAAGGTAGGAGAAGCTCCTCCCACAAGTGTGATGCGCCCGTTTCAAATCTCTCCGCAGTCGAAAGAAGAGTTCACTGGAAACGCTCCTTGTTCCGCTTCAATGGATTCGCACTTGTCTCCGATCCCACTTTTTAAGAAAGCGACCTTTGTATTCATCGGAGAGGGAACCGAGCCCCTGAAAGCAGCCTTTGTATCCATCGGGGGGAAGCTAATCCCCGAAAGTCGTATTTGTTTCCGTCGTTGGGGGAGAACTCTAATCTCCCTCTCGTGGCTTCCACAATGCCAAGTCAAAGTCGAAAAATAAAGCAAATATGTACAGAAAGGCAAGACCCTCCTCGCGCGTTGGCCGCGACGTCAAGGAAACGGTGGGACGCTATTGGATGCGGAGGTGGCGGAGGGATATCTGATTCCCTTTGAGGGGCATTTGCCGCTACCTTCTTAACCTGTAACTGACTATAGCCAAAGTTAGACGCGCCATTGTGGAGGTCGACGCTGGGAGCGGAAAGCGGTCGCTTGGCGAACCCTTGGCGGCTCCGACGTGGCTTGGTGCACGCTCGGGCCCGAGATTACACTACAGCTTCCCCGAGCGAAGCGAGGGGTGAACGCGCGTAGCGCGGATTCTTTAGTATCCTAGCTTGAGCCCAAGCTAGCGTTGCCGCGTTGGTACCAGACGGTATTTGGAAGATGACGTGGCTGTAGCTGGTTTCAGATAGGCTGTCTAGCTATTCGAAGAGTATGTCGTCTGGTTCTTGCGCGGGAGTCGCTCTGAGGTCTACCCACTATCCTAAATTGAAAACCAATTGGAGCTCGGCGTCTTTCTGACGTCGCCCCTACCCCTGCAGAAGAAGCAGACGACTTGCCCTCCGCATTGACATTCAGGGACCTTAGGAGACGGACTTTATTGTGCGGAAGGTGACGGTGGTGTGGCGAGATCCGGTGCGCAATTGGGCTCTTTTGACACGCTTTTCAATAAGTAGAACGCGAACAAAGAGGATTCGAGATAAGGACTTCGCACAGATGGCTCGTTTTTTTCCAAAGCGTTGTATTTTGACGAGACTTACACGAAAAACATGTTTCTTTTTGTCATCCGACGGCAGGTTTTATTATTTTTGTTTTCGCCTACATGGGGCAAAAGTGAAAAACTACCTCACCTTTAATCTGACTGCAGCCAACACAAAGATCCGAAGCAGCCAGTCAAGCAGCGCCAAATGTGCAACGTCACCACGCTCGTCGCGTCTGCGTTTCCTACCACCGGCTGAACCAATCACGTATAGTGGATATACAGTAATTCTGCGTTTCTTTTCGTACGTGATGAATCAGCTGGTGAAATAAAACGCACTTAAGAATGCACTTTTTGCTAAAACGGACTGTGGTAACTACACCTTCCTAAGCTCCTCATAGAGCCTATAAATGCTGAGTCACTGTAAACGTATGCGGTGGGTTTGGTGGTGTTCTGGTGATGATACGGTTTCGTGGTGTCCTAAACGCGCCTATACTCTTAAAAAAGGACAAACTCAAATAATTATTTCAAATAGTATGAATGAACAAAAGGTTCTAGCAAAAAAAAAAAAAAAAAGCTCAATCTAAGCGCAAAAGATGTTTTTAAAAAATGCCGCGTACGTCTCCCTTTCATTTCCGAACACGACTAAATTTAAAAAGAAAATAATCGTGTTCAAATAAATAAAGAAAGCTAACGTAATACCAATGAAACAATTACGGTAGAAAGAGAGAACTGGCTTATATGATAAAGCATTTTGTTTTTAGGCTGCTCAAGATAAAACTAAAATACCGACTCCAATCAACCGCCGTAGGTCAGAGCAACGCAGTGGGCTCGGTGCACTAGCTTATTTACCAGCAATTATTTAGTTTACCAATATATCTAAGACAAAATATAAATAAAATATTTAAGGACGTAATCATATCTTAGTTTTGCTGTAGGTAATACTTGAGGAACACGGCGACGAAGATTCCTGGAGGACGATTTGTCTTCACAGGTCCAATCGCGCAGCGGGTAAAAGAAACCCGGGAGACCGCTGCCGCGGATGTGGCTTCGCCACCTCGCCTCTCCATGTCGGGGGAAGTGAACTCAACGGAGACGCCCGGTCTGTTCTAAAACTTATTGCGGCCGCGTTCGACCAAAGAGATGAATAAACCCTGCTCGCAGAAACGACGAAGAAACTGTATTAAAAATATTCGCTTTACGCATGAGCGCCAGAAAATACATTCTTGAGGAGCGAGTGGTACTCCAAAAAATTGCTCGATTCGCCAAAAAATGTAGGTTTTGATTTGACGGCGGACACGTATGGGTGCATTTGTCGATGTGGGACGAGGCACTTGGATGACTTAAACCTCAACCAAAAATAAAGCACATATTTCTGAACATCCCCATAAAAAAGATGTGGTATCTGAAAAAAATAAATAAAGAAGCTGTAGACAGCTTCAATAAACGAAAAAAATTGATGACGTATTACTTTCCCCGCGTTCCTCCGACACGCACTTGGAAACACTACATACATTAACTGAAACAGATCTTTATTCGAAATTTTCACTTCTTAATTCACACTGTCATGGTACGGATGGGTGGTGTTTCTGAGAAAGTCGCGCGCGTAGATGGAATAGCGACAGATCGGTCTAGAATCTGCGCTTCAATTTTCTTCCCACTTTGCCAACGGCTTACAGGTCGGTGACAGTCACGCCGACAGGCACAAACATCCCCAGCTGCCGGAAAGCTGCCGTAGGGGAAAATCGAGAGAAGCAGACTTACACAAAAAAGGAACCGAGACGAACAAAAATGGAAACGCGGACGCTTCAGGAACGCGTCGTTTTAAGGCTGTGTTTGACATTTGTGCCAGCGACGGCTTACATATAACGTGACACGTCGAGATACGACTACGAGGTTCACGACAACTCACAACCATATCTACGATTTCATCCCGGCTCACACAGCGCCGTTTTCCTTAAATTTCGCAATGTTACAAGTGCTTCGTCAAAACACCACCGGTACATCTGTTCTTTGTAAGAAGCGTGGCAACCAATTCAAGGAGCAGCTTTGGACGCTACGTCTGAAGCATAGATGCACAGGTGACTCATAAACTAACCTAAGAAAACGCAAG